CTCATTCATTCCACGGTGATTGATTGAGAGTCTTCTATGTGCCGCACATCAAGGCACTGAGTGGGATTGGAGAGGGAAGATGGAAATGTTGGGTCTCGAGGAAAATTAAGTGTAATCAGGAGTATCATATTTAAATTTAATAATGATGGTTTCCTTAAAATGACTAGACTGATTTTAAAATCTACTTAAACTATTTAAAATTATTTTTTCTCAGATCGATGTTGGATTTGTTTATGATGAACCTGGTAAGTGATGTTTTCCCCATCAATTTGAAGTCCTAAGTTCATTCCTTCTCACTCTGAAGAAGATTCAGGAATCAAGAAAATTTTGGACATCAAGGAATCAAAGTCAAAGAAATAAAAAAGTTTTGTTTTCTTGTTGGGGGAGAGGGGAAGATGCTTAACAAGAATAACAACAGTAGCTTAGTATGGATTTCCAATTTTTTTATCTTACCTTTCACAAATAGGTAATTTCTGTGTCTTTGGAGGATATTTTGATCTTATCAAGATCAAATTATAAAACCAGTTAATAGAACTGAGAGAGCCTTGTTTGAGTCACAGCAGGAAAGGATGATGGGGTGGGGGTAAAGGGAGAAGGCAAAACAGAGGACGTTAGAATACAGACTCATTTGGGGAATGTGGTGTATCATGATGAGGTTTCCCAGGAAATGCTTGTTTATCTTATAGCAGATGAAATCATGGACTTGTTAGCATCTGTTTAGAGTGTCCCTGTCATTTTACTCCTTCTTTATTTTAGGTCATGCTGTCATGAGAAAATGGCTTCTTCTCAATGACCCTGAAGATGCCAACTCTGGTGCTAAAGGTTACATGAAAGTCAGCATGGTTGTGTTGGGAACCGGAGATGAGCCTCCTGTGAGTCCCTGAATTCTCTACCTTTTACACTTCTCACTAAACAGGAATACCAAGAATTAAGCATGTGGGTACCAGTAGTTATGAAATGGAGCACAGCTTCTAATCAGCAACCCCCCAACTGATTCCTTCTCTTCTTCAGAAACTGTTTTCTTCATCATAGAATTATCCTTCTAGCTCACTTAGACTCCTTCCTGGTGCCCATGAGCAAGTGTTTAGTTCAGAACAGATATGTGTGTTTTTACAACATCCTTGCATCATTAGAAAGACTGCTTTTATCTAGAGAGCACAGCTTACCTGCAGAATCAGGCATTGCTACCTAAAGGGTTAGTGGTTAATATGGGAAACTGGACAGCAAACTCTGGAAGTGGCCAGAGAGAAATTGGAAGAAGATCAGGAACACACACACACACACACACACACGCTGAACTCTTAAACTCAAACATAGGAAATCCTAACGNCTCATTCATTCCACGGTGATTGATTGAGAGTCTTCTATGTGCCGCACATCAAGGCACTGAGCGGATTGGAGAGGGAAGATGGAAATGTTGGGTCCCGAGGAAATTTAAGTGTAATCAGGAGTATCATATTTAAAAATTATAATGATGGTTTCCTTAAAATGACTAGACTGATTTTAAAATCTACTTAAACTATTTAAAATTATTTTTTCTCAGGTCGATGTTGGATTTGTTTATGATGAACCTGGTAAGTGATGTTTTCCCCATCAATTTGAAGTCCTAAGTTCATTCCTTCTCACTCTGAAGAAGATTCAGGAATCAAGAAAATTTTGGACATCAAGGAATCAAAGTCAAAGAAATAAAAAAGTTTTGTTTTCTTGATGGGGGAGAGGGGAAGATACTTAACAAGAATAACAACAGTAGCTTAGTATGGATTTCCAATTTTTATCTTACCTTTCACAAATAGGTAATTTCTGTGTCTTTGGAGGATATTTTGATCTTA